CCCCCTCCCGCCGCCGCTCTCCTCCCGATAACTTGAAAATCCACCCGTCTGAAGTTTCTACCTTTCTACTCCCTATATATTCAGGAAAAATTTTCCATCCCACCGACGGTATTTGCCACAGCCGAACACTTCAGATCAGGTCTGAAGCATGATGCTACAAGCGTGTGGCTCGAGGACGTCTCAGCGAGTGCCTTTAAGATTTGTCTCCGGGAGCTTCAAAACTTTGCAGGAGTTCATGACGACATCTCGGTTGTAAGTGCCAACAATTAACTGCAATGCAAGGCTATGTGATTTAAGTATGTGACGTAACAAACAAATTAATGAAAAAGAAACATGACTAATCGGAACATTAAACAATGTTATTAACCACGCTTTATTACTGAGATTGCAATTCAGTTTTAATCAATACAGACCATTCAATTTAAAGGCTGAAAGGTTAAAAACTCATATATTAATTCATTTTCGTCTATATATTTCTAATTTTGATACAGAATTGGTTGGTGTTCCAGTCTATCCATAAACCATTCTTTTCAGAACACAGTGACGTCAACTTCCAAAATAACGTTTTGCCTTCTAAGAAACATAACTTCGCCTTCTGCCAGGTAAGCCTAATCAACAAGTGTAAGAGGAGGGGTTGCTTTGTGTGCCAGTAGTTAAATATAGATTTTTAGACGGCCAGGAGGCCACACTGCGACCTTTTTTGGAGGTTACAGTGGAGAAAAGTCATAGTTGGAGGTATAAATAATAATAACAATGATAATAATAATAATAATAATAATAATAATAATAATGATAATGATAATAAAGGTTTATTAGCATTCCACAGGGCATAACTCTTCTATAAAGATATATAAAGATAGTAAGAATTTTTGTTCACTAACCCCGTGTTTTCACAAAGAATGTTTACCTAGGTTTTAACTTAACTGGATAGCGTTGCACATCAAAGTAGATATCGGAAAAATCGAAGTTAAATCAACTCACAACGGTGGACAAAAGCCCTTGGGACACTTGTGAAATGTCATGAATGATCTGTGTTTTAAAGCAAATGGGGTTTGAAAAAGCGCTGACATCCTTTTCAAAACGCTTGTTGCATTACATTAAACTCCTAGAAAGGAATTATTTTATGTAATGGGAATGTTAAACTGTACATTGATACCCTTTTTTCAACGTTTCATTTTCAACGATTACTATGAGGATGTAAACTTCCTTCGGAATTACAGCAAATCTCCAACAGTACTTTTAGCAGCCAAACACTCCAGCGGCGGAGGAAATGCAGGCGCAGAGTGTAATGGAATTGTAAGCTGGATTGAGGTAACAATAAAGGTTCTTATGAAATAAAAACAAATGCCTTTTTTATAACAAAATTCTCGAGGACTGTGTTATAGGCAAAGTTTGACCCCGCTCTAGCCTGCGTAGCCGGCGGTTTAGTTTGGGTAGGACATGCGAGCAAGCAGCTAAAGCGGCCTTCTCTGATTCCCTGCCTTTTTTATTAGTCCTGTACGCTGGAGTACGGGCCTCTCCCCTTGGATCGGAACACGAACACATCAGTCAAATGTTTTGTTAATATCCCAAGGGATAACTCCAAGAGACAACGCAAATCTTAGCGTGAAGAGCAAAGGCATCGAGCCTGAAAATTTGATCGCCAATATTCTTCGCAAAGAAATCAGTCCTAAGCATGAGCGAGCAACGGCCGTAAATAATTTGTTTCGTAGAATTGCGTCAGTCATCGTCGACTTCTTTCGCGGTGGTTTCATTCTCTTTTCAGCTGCAGATTCGCACAAATGGAATGCTAAAATGCGTTCCGTAATTTTCCTCCACGGGTATTGCAAACACAGAAACGTGTCTGATCTGTCGACTTTCAGAATCTTCTAGTACTCGACGCACTAACGCCGACTGGTCTTATTTTGAAATCCTTCTCGCTTGAAAAACCTGAAAAGGTATGGGGTCATAGTATATAAGATGTCTAATAAAATTTGCCGCATTAAATCGTTAGCGGACAATTGTGAAACCCTTGTTGTTTTTCATTTCCATTCCTCGACAGACTTTTCGGTGTATCGAAAGAAATATTTGTAATCCAAAAGGATCAGTTGCTGCGTGGCACAGGAAACAGTTCAAAATTTGCAAATAATAATAATTCAGAGCCAAATTAAACTCAATGTTTATAGCAGACGTTTCGGGCCTAGCCCTTCCTCAGTGCTAAGTTGAGTTTTGAATGGGGTACGTCATTGAATAAATAAACAGCTGTACGCGCGACTCCAACAAATAGATAAAAGCGCGCGCGTCAAGCTGTTTAAAAAATAAAATCCACGTTTAGTCCATGCGGTATAAGGGTACCAAGATGGAAAATTAGGGGCATTTCGTCACGGTGTCTAGCCTTCTTGGTACCCCTCCATGCCGTCATTTTTTCCCCAGGCCACTCGCGGTTTCGCTGCTCGTTTTTGCGGATCACGCTCTATACGGTCCTATACGCATACCTGCTAAACCGCAAGCTACCTCAATCCATCGTTTGCCCTATGACCTAACCCTATTTAGCGTGGCTACCAGGGGAGGGGGGAGAACTGTTTAGACCTCCCATCCTTATCGAAAAGTATGGGATGGGTGAGTTTATTTACACACGGAAGTTTTTCTCATCAGTAACATGCAGCTCTGCAGTGGTAATCAAACATGGTGCGTCCATCTGAACCTGTTTACTCTAACGATATAATGTGTCAATGATAACGTCACAGAACGCCAACATGCCGGCACACATTTCAAAATGCCTTCCAACTTGGATCTTCCATTTACGTGAAATTCCCGAAATAAATCAGAACAGCTGTCAGTGGGATTCCAAAAATCAGGACAAATAAGGATACCAGAAATGAAAGAATTTAGAATAAAACTGTCATAACATGAATTATATGTTCTTGGCATTAAAGCTCTTATTGTCTTCTTTACCTTCTTTCTCGCATTCTTGAAGTTTATCACCAAATCCGGACTTCGTATTTGCCTGAAAGAGCTGTTTGTTCAACGTTTTGATCCAATGACTGTGTCGTATGCAGTATTGTCAGGTAAAGTAACAATTATTATTGCTCATTACGCAGAAAACAGAGGGAAAAAGGAAGGCCGTATTCTAATGCATCATTTGAAGCAATCAGATTGCGTTTATTTCATTTTCCTTTAAAGTAACTGACTGGACAGGCAACAGTTTTAGCATAATATGAATTCAAAGAGCGCAGTTGTTAGGGTAACAGAACAACAGCAATACAAACAACGACAAGATGATCATAATCGTTACCATGAACACCAAAAACAGCACGTACATAACTTCAATAACGGTAACAACATGAACATTAACAGGTATGTTCACACTTTCCATTAACAGACATTTGTCCGGATGACTGGATGTATTTTAATGGACACTGCTGGAGAAAGGTGTCTTCTTGTGATTCGTGGAATGGTAGTCAGGGTACTTGCGCCACTCTTGGAGCTAATCTTCCCAGTATCCATAGCCAGGAAGAAAATGTTTATGTCCAAAATTTACACGGCGGAGAAAAATCTTGGTTGGGACTGTCTGATATCAACACTGAAGGGACATTTGTGTGGAGCGATGGGACATCTTTTAATTTTCAGTACTGGGAGAAACACCAACCAAACAACTTTCGCAATCAGGATTGCGTTCATACTCTTGGCTTACGTCATGAAAACAGGTACAGATGGAATGATGTCAATTGCACAGACTGCCACAGATTTACTTGCAAGAAAGGTACACTTTATGTCTTTTTTAACTTATAACAAATACAAATTTAGAACACAAAGTAAGAATCGCTGAAACTCCTGCGAAATTATATAATATATAAATTTAGGCCAGCCTAAAAGCGTAGCTCCTGG